TATATATTTAGATTATGGATAATTCTTATCATTATTATTAATTTAAATCATTTATCTAAGCAAATAAATATTAAATTCGTTTTTAATTATATAATAAATTATATAAAATTTATTAAGGGTATAATCGATATTAACCACTCCAACTTTTAACGTGAGAGCTCCGTTGCAAAAAATCACTCCGCAAATAATAGTATAGATTACAAATCATACTACAGCTCAAATATAATATTATATGTCACCAATCGGAGCTATTTGCGTTGATGAACTGTTTCGATCGGCTTTAACAACCCATAACTCCTAGTGAAACTCTTGATGCTGAAGATTAATGAATAACAATAATTTACTCTACAGTGTTCCAAAAAAAAAAAAAACAATAATTTACTCTACAAAACATGTCACACAATTATCCTTTGAAGTCCATCTCATTGAGCAGAAAGAGAGAATTGTACCCTAGAGATAAAACAATTGTATTGAGTAAAACACAAATGATCCAACTCCATACACTTGCGTACACGGCAGTGTTTCCATCAACAAACAAAAACTCAAGTTTCTATAAATTTTGTTTTTTTAGTTTCGATAAATGGTATCAGAGACCTCGAAAGGCCCAATAATATACTCATTACGGTAACATGGGCTTCTACACTCGGGTCGGATCAAATCCCGAACCGGAACGTTATAACCCGACCCGCAATCTAAACAGCGAGAGAAAGAGAGAAGACGGGAAAGGAAAAAAAGGAGAGAGGTCTCGTCTCCACGCGAACGAACGAAGATAGACGAATCCAGGAGTCGTTGGATTGGATTCATCGAATTTCGAATCTCGCGTTTCCGCGGAGAGGGAAGAGAAGGATCTCTCAGAGATGATAACAAGATCGAATCTAGCAGAGCAGCTGAGGGAATACCAGATTCGATCGAAGCACGATTGGGCGTCTGTCTCCTTCTTCTCCTCTACCTCGAGCTTTTCTTCGTCTAGGTATCAGGATTCTTCAGTTTCTTAAGATCCGAGATCTCTGCATTTTGTTTTGCTTTCCTGCTCCAAGTTCATTTATATGCTTTGTGTTGATCGCTTGATATTTTTAGAGAGTTTCGATTCGGTTACGTGAATTATACATTTTTGGAAGATCTGAATGTGATGTGATCTATAAACAAAATCCTGCCTCAGATCATCGTATAATACAGTGCTATGTGGATCCAAGACGATTGTTGTTTTTTTTCTGGCTCTAGCAGTAGATTTTCTTCGTGTTATAAGGTGTTTATTAGATTCAATTCGATATCTAATGTATATTATCCCTGACATGCTCCTGGTATGATTGTATTTGATACTAATCAATGTAGAATTATGATGTATCATATATATAGATAGATAGATGGATATGCAGAGTAATGCATCCATGTGTTTATTGATTCCTCTAACCATTAGGTGCCATATTCTTGTGTATCAAATAATACAAGAGACAGGATTTTTTATCATAAGATTACCTGCTTAAAAGCTTTTTCAAGTAAGTAGATTTGCATTTCTACTTTTGAGATTCAATCCCATTTTCTTTCTGTGCTGTTAAGTTGGGTGAAAATTTCCTTCCTTATCTCTTACAATCATGATCGAGTCATAAGCTGTTTGAGGTTTTTTTCTTACTCACGAATGCATACATCTTCATGAGTTAATGGTATTAATAAGTTAGTATTTGATTCTGATGGCAGGGTGGATGTTGTAGTCTTTGTCATCTGGGAGCTAGTCATCATAGCATTCTTAGTGTTTTCAGCCGTTTCCTTATACTTCAAACGACTGCAACTCGCCTTCATCTTGGTATGTGTCACTTTGCTACTACTTGTTTGCATGAAGGTCACAAAGCAAGTGAGATTAGCCAGGAAAAAGAAGCGAAGGATGCTTCTCCCACTATCTATGTAAAGAAACCACCAAGCCTTTTTATGACAAGTTGCAGCTTTTCTTTTTGGTCTTACTTAGCCACAAAAACAACACACACCTCCTAATTCACCCTGCTGATTCAATTGCACGCGGATATAGATCACAGTTATGCTCACGGAATGGGTTTTTTAGAGCTTTGAGTCATGTCAGGGTGTCTGAGCGCGGCAATCTTAGGCTTTAGGATTGTTAGTCGTGACTATCATTTTTTTCTGATTTATATAGCATTTGGCTTTGTTCAGGGAAAAAAATGTGTTGGAAATTGAAAGAGTTATGTTTTATGTGTAATTGTGGTTGTGAAATTCAGACGAATGAGAAAAATAATATCGAAGCTTGCATTATTACCATTTGGCCGCGGAGATTAGTTTTGTTCTTTTTCCGATTTGAAAATTTGTAATTTAGGTGGTACAATGTTACCGGCTTCTGACTCGGTTTAGTGATTAAGAAAGAAACAATACAACTAAGTCGTTTTAGGGTAAAAATAGTTGGGCCCAAGCGCCATATATTATTCAGATTTGGGCCAAGCGTCATATGAATTTTGAACTGATTGTAATAGAATAATCAGATTTAACTCTTTGGAATCATGGGATAGTCCGGAGCTTTCTACAAAACCATATTGATCCGGAGCTTGAACCTCTATAAGGACCACAAAGATAGAAGATATAACGGTGTACTACTTCTAGCTTCATAGTTGAAAAGTTAAGGCTTGAGGATTTCATGTGACTTGGGGAGAAAAAGACATGAAGAAATTAAAACAAGGGAGATAGATACACAAGAAAGTGAAAATAGTGAAGTTGAGGACGTGATTATAGGGAAAAAGCAGCAGCAATTTGCTCTTACCGGTCACATCTCACATGCTCTGTTTTCGCCACCACATCTCCTTTTACCTTCTCACAAACTTATACTTTGTGGTCTAAATTATATGTAAATGTGGTTTTGCCACTCGCAATTATTATCACAACTATTAATAACTCTCATAAATTATATCTACTATTTTGTTTTTTTCATAATTTTATGGCTTTTCTCTGTTAACAAAGTGTTCATGCCTAGAGATGCAAGATCATAATACATAAAACAATATTTTTGGCACAAATTACATTTTTGATCTTTTAACCCTCAATAAGTAGATAAGCTGAGTATTTATCGTTTCATTTTTTTTATATTATTTAACTATATAATCTATATTTTTCATGATTTGCTGGTTGGACTCTTTTTTCTGCCAGCAAAGTTTTAGTTTATGCAGAAACTAAAAAAAGGTATTGTGTTAAAAAAGAAAAAAAGGGTTCTTGTTTATGCATAGAGATGCAAAACCATAAATACATGAAAACGACAAAAAATACATTTTTAATCTTTTTAACCTTAGCAAAACATTTTTAACCTAAATAATGACAGAGCCACACGGCTACCTTTACACCTTCCACACATTCTTAATCCTTCTTTTTGGCCACATCACAAACTACCACAAACACTAATCACATTTTGTAGTATAAATACATTAAGAGAGAGGAAGGTATAGTTTCAGACAGTAACAGACTAACAAACAGTATACACAACGGTATTATGTTAGTAACAGATCAAAGAGAAGAGTCAAAACATATGAAGAAAGGATCTTGCAAGAGTCTTAGACTCACCAATATGATGGAGAAGTGGAGAAAGTGTAAGAAAGGACACTTCGCGGTGTACACCAGAGAAGGCAGGAGGTTTGTTTTGCCGTTGGATTATCTGAAACACCCAATCTTTCAGGTCTTATTGGAGATGGCCGAGGAAGAGTTCGGTTCCACGATTTGTGGCCCTTTAAAGGTTCCTTGCGATGGAGGTTTGATGGATCACATCCTCATGTTGCTGAGAAAGAGGAATTTGTCTGGCCATGATGATGATGATGATGTGAAGAAGAAGAACCACGATGTGTCCTCCATGAGTATGTCCTGCAAAGGAGCTTCATCGGTTTCATATTTCTTCCCTCTCTTTCGATGTAACGCAGCCCATGATCAGACCAAGCTTCAGTCTCTAGTTTTTTAACACTTTTATGCGTTGTGGAGAGCGCTTTTACAAAAAAAGGTTATTTCTGTTTGTATATATATAGAGAAACAGAGATTCTGTATAAGCCTTGCAGTTTGTATATCAATATATTCAGTTTTGACAGAGATTTCTGTAGTAGAAGTCAATAACTGGTTAAACAAATAGATGGATTAACTAATATGGTGAAGTGTGGTCAGTATAAATCCTCTTGTATGGAGATACCTAACTACCTAAGTAATTTAAACAAAATCAGTATAAATCTTGGGAACCACGGCTGGATCATGTCAAAACATGGTCTGCATTGGTGGAACAAAAAACCTGTTTTGCGAGTAAGCTCATGATTTAACTTTCGGATAAGTTACTTCAAGCTGTTCTTAACGAGATATGCCATTGGATATTGCCCAGCTCATGTCAGAATGCTTAATAAAACCATAAAAACAAAAGTAAAAGATACAGCAAAAAAGGGTCACTAAAAGAGAAGAATATTAGTGATGGGTCATGTTAAAAAGCAATGTCCTCACGGTATTACTGCTGATCTCTGGATGAGCAAAGCAACAATGCTTCTAGTTCAGCTTGAGTAACCTAAACAAACATTACCGGAACCACCATCTTTAAGACGATTAATGCATTAGGAAAGATCAAACACAAGTTGGTTATATGTTTCTTTTCTATTTGTTACCTGATAACCATCACTCATTTGCTCGTCTCGGTAGTGCCTGATGAGTATAACAGAGCCGCAGTGTCGTCCTGGTTAGCTCGTTGCTTCACTCGTGACTCACTCGGCTCCATCTCCATCATCGTCTTCAAGCTCCAGATTGTCTTCATCGCGCGTATTCTGTCGGAAGATACCACGCGGTTATCGTCCATGAGAACCAACGGCGATCCATCGTCATTGTTTTTTGGATCCTGTTTGGGCCTAACCGCAGTTTTCTATTTTTGGCCCATTACGTAGTGGCCTCATTGCACACCAAAAATGAAAACTTTATTGTTCATCTTCTTTCTCCATGTCCAGAGCAACATTATTTTCTTAACGAATTTCTTTGTATATATATTCATTTTTTAACTGCTAATCATCTACTTAGAAATCTTTTGCTTAATCATAGCAACGTGTATCGTGTGACTAAACATGTGGTGGCCAATTGGGTTTGGTATAGATCTGAGTCAATTCTCTTCTGAACTAATACAGAGTTGGCCCCAAATTACCAAACAACGTGATCATAATATCATAGTTTAGTATTAGGGTCGACGATTTATTTCCCCACGAGAAGTATCGTATAGCACCAAATGTCCACGAAAGTATGACCTCATTCTATTTATCCCCGAGAATAAAGTTTGAAACCTATTTCCCCATCAAATTTGGTTTAGTTATGATTTCTGAAAACCGAATTTCAAATCTTCACTCTCGTATAATAAAATGAGAAAAACTAAACCAAGAAAATATAAAAAATTGACCAATGGATCATAGCAGTAATCCGACCCAACATTCATTCGAATTTGAAAAGATCCAACTGATTGGATCTGATTAATCATTGACTTAACATGGTTTACGGTTTGATTACAAATAATAAACCAATAAAAATCGATTTTGTGGGTTTTTAAATTTTGATTTTTATAACTATGGAGAAATATCAATATAACTTTAATTTGGTGGGGAAATATGTTTCAAACTTTATTTTCAGGGGTAAATAGAACCGGCTCATAGTTCCGTGGACATTTGGTGTTTTCAAAATTTGTCAAAATGGCTTGCACCTAACGTTGTGCTGAAGGTTTGTTTTCATCATCTTTTTATCTATGACTATTTTAAATTATATCATGCCAAGGCAGGCAAACAAAAAACACCATAAGCTAATTGTCTCAACATTTTTATGAGCCTCCTTTTAAAATTATTCAACATTCTTACAAATTTACAACATCTCTCTTATTGAAGACAATCAATAAAAGTGAGAATGTAGCAAATAAATTATTTCAAAGCTTAGAAATAGATAGCTTGATTAGATCTTTGCGAAGTATTTTGCCGGATGGAGTCTTTGGTATGGAGTTTATGAATGCGACCTTTCTTATCTTCTTATAAGGTGCCACCTGCTCATAAAAGTTAATGTCTATTATTTTCTAACCAACTCCTAAATTTTTTAAGACAGAGTATGTGGTATGGTTTTGTGATCCTTCATGTAAATACCTGTTTAGAGATGAAGTCAATAACTTGTTTCTCAGAGAGATTGCTCTCAGGCTTTCGTGTCACGTACGCCATTGGTATTGTCCTGCTTCCTTATCAGGAAACCTTACAGAAGAAAATTTTATGTTGTTCGGATGTTCTATAAAGCAAAACTAAAGGAGTTTTGAATAACAAAACGACATAGTGATTGTAAAAGTTTTCGTACGGAATAACTGCGGCATCAAGAATGTCTGGATGAGTGATCAGGAGAGCTTCTAGTTCAGCCGGAGCCACCTGTTTATCCAATAAAAACAACAAGCTTTGGTGGGTTTTAAAATTTACACCATTGATGATCCATATGTAACAAAGATATGTCTTTATAACCTGATAGCCTTTGTATTTGATTAGTTCTTTCAGTCGATCCACGATATAAAGAAACCCATCGTCATCGATATAGCAAAGATCTCCAGTTTTTAGCCATCCTTCTCGATTGAAAGTTTCACTTGTAGCTTCTTGGTTTTTGAAATAGCCTTGTAAGAAAATGTTTGCGTTGTTTCACGAGAAAATTTTAGATTTATTTGTAAAGATTGCAACCCTTGTCATTCAGTTACTCTCAAAATGTACTAATTAACATCCAGCTGACGACAAAAAATACTAAGATATATTAGATAGATTTTTGACAATGAGGTAACAAGTAGTACAGTAAAACCTCTAAAAATTAATAATGTTGGGACTTTGATATTTTATTAATTTATAGAGATATTAATTTACAAAAGTTTCATTATTTAGATTTTTTCCATATTTATTTTTAAAATAAAAAATTGTTTGATTTTAACGTATGTACCTTATTTAAATTTTAGAATTTTGACTTTTATATTCTTTTATTATCTTATTTAGTGTATATTTTTATGTTTCATAGAATTGTTACGTGGTTTTCGATATAATTTGACTAAATATTATCAAAATATAATGAAATGTTAAAAAAGTAAAAGTATTTAATTTTACTGTAAATATAAATCCAACAATATAATGGTAGATTGTATTATATAAAATTATTTATAGATAGATTATTAATTTATGATTTTAATGAGACTATATATTTACAAGACAGTTTTAAAAATATTATTATCTTATTATTTTATCGCTTTGTGTCATATTTTACACCGGTCCAAGTTGAAACCGGTAAAATTTATTAATTTATAGAGATTATTAATTTATCGAGTATTAATTTATAGAGGTTTTACTGTAGATAAATTGTTCATCTTTTAATAGTTTATTCTCCCACTAGCTTTTTAAATTATTTTTGTCGTTCTCCAACTAACAATCATTGCTACCAATTTCTCTACAAAACACCAAACATCTATTTTACACTAAAATAATATACTCCAAATCAAACACTACCTAACATTTCAGAATTCATATACGATACATGCATAAATCCAAATAGACACACTGAGTCCAATCCAAAATGCAACAACGATTTATTTCTATACGTAGAAGCTTGAAATCAAATACGAGTTGCTACATGATATTACATCACTAATACCGAATATGTTTTATCTTTTAAAATCTACATGAAAATATTTAGTTGGATTAATTTTTTTTTCTTAATAAAATTAATACTTAGTTATATATAACTAAATTCTATTAAAATCCTATGTTAAATTATTTTGAATTCCATTTTAAAATATTACACCGTTAATACCGTATATGTGTTTTACCTTTTGAAATAGACGGCCCCTTGAGCCACAGTTCGCCCGTTTGATTAGTTCCCAAAAACCGACCCGTATCCGGATCCACGATCCTCGCCTCCACATCACACGTCAACTTCCCCGCCGTACCATACCTCCCACTATCCACCACATCCATAAAAGCCCCTCCACCGTTAGATTCCGTCAACGCATAAGCCTGAAGCACACGAACCGTCGGATACTTCTTCAAAAACCCTTCCGTCACCTCCTTGCTCAACGGCGCTCCACCACACGTCACTTTATCAAGAGACCTCAGATCATACTTCGCCTTGATCACATCCGCTTCGTTTGTCATAACAACCAAAACGGGCGGCGCAAGAATCAGAGTCGTGGCTCTGTACTTCTCCACCGCGGCCAACATTTCGTTGAGCTCGAACCTCCCGAGGATCACCACCGTGGAGCCAAGAGCCACGGTGGCCATAGCGAACGTTAACAACCCGAACGTGTGGAACATTGGAACCGTGCAGATGAAAACCTGTTCTTGCAAGGAGCTTTCAGCGAGCATTCTCGCCACGTGTGTCGTCAAGTTTTTGTGAGAGGAGATCACTCCTTTGCTTGCTCCTGTTGTCCCTGAGGAGTAAAGCATCACAGCAGTATCCTCCTGGTTGACTCTGTCTCTGACTCGCTCCCCACTCGGTTCCTTCTTCATCATCTCAGACACAACACCGATGACTCCACGTGTCGTCTCCTCCTCGTTCTCCTCGGTGAGGACGATGAAGATGCCGTCCGGGAGTTTGTGTGCGAGGTGAACTGTCGTGAAAACGAGTTTTGGTTTGCTGTCGGCGATTTGCTTTGATATCTCACCGGCGGTGTAGAGAGTGTTGGCGGTGGTGACGACGGCGCCGAGAGACATGACGGCGAGGCAGACGATGGGGATGTAGAATGAGGATGACGTGGCCTTTACGTAATCCGACTTCACGGTGGAGACACTCTGCTACACGGTCAACGGCTCTCCAGAGATCGGAGAATGTTAGCCGTTGGCCAGTGGCGGCGTCTATGAAGGCGGTGGTGCCGCGGTGAGGTTGAGAGGAGATGAAAGTTGTGACGTCGAGTGATGGACTCGAGGGGAGGCTAATTGGGTTGCGTTTAGTGTAGAATGTTGAGTTTGATTTGCAGAAACCACTTCTTGGATCAATAAGAGATGATCTTTCTGCATTTGCCATTTTATTTTCTGAACACAAACTACTCTGGAGAAGATGTTCCAGGAGTGGCTGATAAATGTAAACTTTTGTTCCAGGAAGATGTTCCAGGAGTGGCTGTTTTGATTATAATAATATTAGTTTAATGAATAAAGTTTACAGACGTGGAGAGTGTGGACTACCAACCAGATCCTTGAGATGATTGAGATGCCCCAACGAAAGCATAGTGTGATATGATGACTCGACTTTTGTCTTCTCTTACAAAGTGCAAAAAATAAAACATGCCTAGTCTAAGAGACGGTTTCCACCATATACAACGTAGAAGACGAAGACTCTTGCTGATGAGGGAGGGTTAATGGAAAGAGCAAACTAAATTGGAAGGCGAGAACGTGGTGAGTCTGGTGACAAAGGGAACTAGGGAAGAGCTGTCGCATAGACTTCTTTTACGTTATACGACAGATACTATTGAAACTCACGAGGTAGGTTAATGTGTGCGTTTGTTGTTGTCCAGAGTATATAGGTGTAAGATCAGTGATTCTAGTGCATTTTTTAGAACAAGACACTGGTAAGATTCAAGAGCAAGTGATTCAAGTGGATTCTTGTATTCCACGCTATGTTTCTTCTGTTTTTCCTTCTTCTTTCTCTTTCTTTTTTCGTTCTCCATTGATTCTCAACATATTTACATCAGATAAAGCCTCTACCCTATATGATATATAACGTAATTCAGCCACTAAAACTCTACAAGAACAAGGGAGGAAATGGATAGAAGAATCTATAAGAACTAAAACAAAACGGAACATTACGTGTAATTTTGTTTACCAGACAAGGGAAGAGACTTATTGTGATGCAAGAACACATCTCTATCTTAAGCTCGTTTCATTATTAGAATATATCTTAGGGCATCTCATTAGTCATAGGTTTCGATCAAACGTATATGATTATATAATAGAGTTTATCTATAATAAAATATAAAAAATACTATTTTATATCTCTATATTTAGGAATGAAAATATCATTTCTCTATATTTTCTCCTAAGAATAGAATAATTCTAATATAAAAGTATACATTGGAACAAATTCACTTATATCATAGAAAAAATATATTTTTGAAGAAAATAGAGATTGGGTGGAAATGATGGTACTATCAAAATTCATAAAAGGCATAGGCATAAATTATCCAAAAATAATGATTTAAGTAAATTTAAAACTCTACAAAAATAAGATGACAAATGAACAACAAATAGAGTAATTCATAAGAACTAAAACACAGAACAGAACATTACGTGCACACCAAGTCAAGTTCCTCATAACTCTGCTTCAAGTTTGTAGACAGTTTTTCCATACATTTGAAAATCTGTTCCATGTTAGACTTCATATCTAAACTCCCCACAAATTCAGCAGATGTTACTGTCTTCATCTTCCTCTGCATCTTCTGCTCTTCCTTCTCTAACATCACAAGTTTCCTCTCTATTTCCTTATCCCCTCCATTAACCTTCCTCTGCTCTTCCAATTCCATCCTCCGTTTCTCCACTTGACGGCTTACCTGCATCAAGAGCGCGTAAACCGCTTCCATAAACTCCTTTTCTCCATCTGATCTCCCAAGGGACTGTGACCAACTGTTCACAGCTCCAAACAATGGTGGCTCTTCGGAGAGATCTGGTGTTGGTTCTTGAGGCTCTTGCTTCAAACATCTCATTAGCCAACTGTTCAAAGCCTTAACATATTGATCCTGAGCATCTATCCAGTTAGATAAGCTTTGGCTCCAGTTCCTCAGCTCCAGTTTCATTTCCATGGCAAGCTCAAGCTGAGATATGTCTAGATTTTCCTTTAGTGTCATCTTATCAAGCTTCTTAGCCTCTGAGATTACTTGGTATTGTTTACTGTGACATTCTAGCATAGAGCTCCACATCTCAGACAACCTAATTTGAGACAATAAAAAAAGCTGTGTTTACTCAAAACAAAACTTATGGTAAAAAAGAGAGTTTTTCAGTACCTGTGGATCAATTCTTTCACTTGTGACCAGAGTTCTTCATCGCGTAACTTGTTTATCATAAGACATATGTTGTCTATCATTTGGATAGAGACTGTTATTCTTGTAGACAAACAATGAATCGAAGAACGAAGGGTTTCGATTTTGCTTAGATCTGTACTTTTCCCTTCCAATCTTCTCAATTCTTTGCATCTCTTCATGTGAGATGTGCGGAGTTTCTCCTCTGCCTGTAAGTAACAATCAAAAAGGACTAAGGAACATTAAAAAAAAACACTTTATGTTTTGTCTTAAAAAGTTACTTACCTTTACTTCTTGGTACAGTTTCTTCTCCCACATGAAAAGTTTCTTAAGAGTAGATGAAAGATTACTGAAACTAGATCCAAAATCTTCCACTGGAGGCATCTTCTTTGCGTAAAGAACGTTTGAAGAAGCTGATATAAATATACATTAAAAAAAAAAAAAATAGAATCAGAAGTAGTTAGGGAGTGAAGTGCGTTAACGAAGAAACAGAACATTACCTTGATAAACTGATGTTTTCTGGTGATATCTGAATCTGGAAGTGTCGAACATCTTCGTAACATCACTCCCTGCTTCTGAAGCTTTCTTGAACATCTCCTGTAACTGCTTTGTGACGTCAGAGAAATCCGACGAAACTTTCTGTTCCTTTGGTTCTCTGGTTATCTCCGGTTTAAGCTTTTTCTTTTTCTTCTTCTCTGAGGTTTTTAGGACACACTTCTCTTCCTCTGTTCCAATCTTCACTTTCTGAGTCTTCGTTGACGTATCCTTCAAATCCTTAAGATTCGTATTGTACGGAATCTCATAGCTCTCGAAGAAGTTGATAAAATCCCAAGCGTTGTTACTCGGAGGAGGAGGAGGCGGAGGCGGCGGCGTGTTAACGCCGGATTCGTAATTCCGGAACGGTTCATGATTCAGATTGCTAAAGAGATGACAGTCCGTTCCTTTGATTCCATCTTCCTCGCAGTCGGAATCGAATTTTGGAGGCAAATCGGAATCCAAACTGGTGCTCACGGAGTGAGCCGGAGAAGATGATTCCGGCGAAGATGTGTCGGCTTCGGAGTCGACATCAGGCGGAGACTCGACGGCTTGATCGAAGAATCTGTGGAGAGATGGACCGAGTGTGTTTAGAGAGAGGAGATAAGAGGAGTGAGCGTCGGCTAGTGCGTAGCTGCGGCGGAGAGTCTCCTCAAGTGAGTTGCAGCGGTCGCGGCATAGAGCTACGGCTGGTAAACCGTCGAGCTTTGACGGTGAGCAGCCCATAACGGTCGTCGGAGATGTGTGTTTTCAAAAACTCGGATGTGACATCATAGATTGTTTTTTATCCGTTTTAAGACAAGCGAGTCCCAAAATGATGTGGCGGGATTCCATATATAACACTATTTTGCTGACTTTTTTTTTGTTTTAATTTTTAATCTCTCCATAGATATTCAACTAAAAAAATTGGGACAAATTAATTAATTATCGTACATTTTTATTTTTACCTTTAAATTGGTAAAAAATATTAAAAATGGAAAATTTTTGAACTCAATTATCAAACTAAGACCTGTGAAAATTTTGGTTTATATTTTTGCATTGAATACGTTACTGTAAACCAACGGTGACTGAAACCGTAGTGAAACTATGATCACTCTGAGTTGGCTAATTATATTTTTCATGCATTCATAGCTCAAGTCCCAGTAATTACGGCAAGTTGGAAATAGTAGAATGGGGGAAATCAGCCAATTCATACCTCAACAGATGAACGTGGTCCTGATCACATCAACTGAGGAACGCGGTCCTAATCAGTACATCAACTGAGAACCTGTGCTAAAATATACATTAACATCAGCATCAATTTATTTTAATTTTCATATATGAACTAATAAAACTAGACTAAATCATACATTGACTTATTTTCCGTTAGTCAAATGTTTATAGATGATGACATGTCATTAACGAAAACTTATGTGACAATTTAAAATAATAAATAATAATTTAAAATTTAATTTAACAAATCTGTATGAAGGGAGCTTTGAACCCTGGTCGAATCAATGAATAATGTAATGCCCAACCACTATGACAAGCCAATTCATAGATGAACTAATAAAATTAGACTAAATCATACATTGACTTAATTTTCGTTAGTCCAACGTTTATAGATGATAACATGTCATTAACGAAAACTTACGTGACAAATTAAATTAATAAATAATAATTTAAAAATTAATTTAACAAATTTGTATGAGGGGAGTTTTGAACATTAGTTGAATCAATGAATAATGTAACGCCCAACCATTGTGACAACTCAATTCATTGTTTATATTGTCTGTTGTTTAATATATATCTCTAATAAAAGAGAGAAAATTCCATAAATATACCTTAACTTAATTTCATTAAGCTTTTTAATACCCAAACTTTTTCGATATCCAGTTTAATATCTCAACTAATTATTTTTCCCTTTTAATACCCAAACTTTTATAATTGTGTCTAGTTTAATACCCAAACTATGTTTATTTTAATGAAAAATAAAAAATTTAAAAATCGCTAAAAGCTAAGAAAAAATATTTACAATTTCTAATTTTACTTGAAGATTTAATAAAGAAGGTAAAAAAACTCTTGAGAAAAATTTTCAAATTTTAAAAATTAATTTTGAAGGAAAACAAATTAATTTATTTTTATTTAAAAAAATCAATAATTAAAATTTAAGAAACTTACTTCAAATTTTAAGAAACTTACTTCAAAATTTATTTACTTTTTTTCCTCAGCACAATATAAAATTAGATTTTTTAAAAAAATTTAAAGATTTTTAAAATTTCATTAAAATAAACAAAGTTTAGGGTATTAAACTGGGTAGCGAAAAAGTTTGAGTATTGAAAAGCTTATTGAAATTTAGTTGGGATTCAACATTTTCTGAAAATATCTTGAGAAAAACAAAAAGAAACAAATACAGAGAAATAAATGAGATTTGAGGAAGATTGAATTCAAAAGAGTTACATTTCTTTATGGAATCCATCGAGCTTTTAAAGAAAGAAGAGAAGAAATATCAAAATTAAATATTATTCGAGATATATAGTAAATCATAGAGAAGACAAAGAAGGAATAGATCTGTCATAGTGGTCCAATGTTACAAAGTCCATGACTCATCTAGGGTTCAAAACCCCTTTGGCAGCATATTGCCAGAAATGTTTTGTTTTAAATAATTATTATTTTAAATTATAATAGACAGCTCAGCGACACGTAAGCTTCCGTTAATGACATGTTATCATCTATAAGTGTTTGACTAACGGAAAAAATGTCAATGTATAAATTTAGCCTAATTTTATTAGTTCGTGTATGAAATTTAAAATAAATCAATGTTGATGTATATTTTAGCACATATCATCAGTTGATGTACTGATCGGAACCACGACCTTCTATTGATGTATGAATTGACCGATTTCCCTAGTAGAATGGTATTCTTAGAGTTAGATCATAATTAATCCAGTTTTTTAGGATGTGGTTATTAACAGAAATTAAAAAAATTGTTTTTAATTTTTTAATTAAGAAAGCTAAGAAACGATTTTTAAAGTCTTTATTTAAGAATGATTTTTTAACTTTTTTTAATTAAAAGTCAATAAACTTTTTTTAGTTTCCACTAAAAACTCCAATTTAAAAATTCTGTGTTAATCATGCTATTATTATTTGAAGGGACAAAGAGACATTTATATGGCAGTAACATTTTCATATATAAGCAACTGATTATGACTGATACTAAAAAGAGTAAATATGATTAAAAATAAGAGCCGTTTTCCTCGTAGAAGAAAGGACATGAAGCTAGTGATTAAGAACCGTGCAGTATTCAACTACGGGAATCATTGAAGCATAGAAAGTGGAAAAAGACGTGGTTTTGAAAAGTTAAAGGTAAAAGTTAAAAGTTTAAACTAAAAAGGTTGAGATTCAAAGTAACATAAAGTATTGTATTATATTTCTGAATGATATCATGCTTGAAAAGTACTTGCTCACAATAACATGAACATATTTTAATCAATTTTCCCCTGGACTCAAAACTCACGACTTCAGCTTCAAAGTTTAAACAAACGAAATTGAAGTTTTTGTCAAGCTATTAACCCTACATTACCTTACTTACCGTCTTCAGTATAATCTCCCATATCTTCCTAACTAACTCAAATTTATTTCATGTCCTTTACACACTAGACCTCTCATTATTCACTAATATACATATGATGAAATTATTTTCATCTTTTAAGTCATTGGTACGTAGGGGTGGGCACAAACCAATTAGTTGCATTTTTTGGCTTATTTGGTATTTGATTTGGTATTTACCTGGAATTGTACTTACATTATTAAAAACGAGTACTTGTATTTTCAAGTACTTGCTAAAAAATAGTATACTTAGAAGTACTTGCCCCATTTTACTACTTGTTATTTCTGAACTATTTATAAATTATTCTATAATTATTTGTACGTTTTTAATAATAATTTATTAATTTTATCTACTTAAACCTTATATATGAGTTTAAGAGAAAAGTTAGTTAGTTATAATTCTAATCTACATCATTTTTTTTTAATTTTATATGTTTTTAGTCGATATATGCTAAATATAAAATTTTTGAAAAAACTCTAAAACATTTCTATAATATCACTTTTAATTAATTTTTCGTATAAACAAGTAATTTGATTATAGTTTAGAGATTTTTTTGTCCAAAAGTAAAATTGAATAATAAATCAAGTAATAAGTCACGAGTAATAAGCCAACAATGTCAAGTAGTTATTTTTATTTTAATACTTGGTAATTGTCTTGTACTTGCAAGTAATTGAAATAAACGATTTGATACTCGATTTTGAACAATATGAGTACTCAACTTTAAGACCCTAGTACACATCAAATAACGAGTACAAGCCGAGTAGCAAGTAATTGTGTACACCCCTATTGGTAGGCATATTGTCTTTTCTTTTGTAGTATTTTAACAATTTAGATTGCTGAGAAACAAAAAATACAAAATTATAGTTTTCTCTTGCAGTGTATTTATCTGCTAAAGATGCAACATTTATAAAGATTTTTCACCAGTATTATAGTTTTCTCTTGCAAGTAAAAATTACAGTACATAACGTCAAACAATAATACTGGTGAAAAATCTTTATAAATGTTGCATCTTTAGCAGATAAATACACAAAAATATTTACCTAGTTGTTGTGGTTACTCTTGCTCCAGTCGACTGAGTGCTAAGTTAGGAGTAGAACATGGTGGACCTCGACTGAAAGTAGAGGGACTGACATCTTTTCCTTTTCAGTTCGTATAATGTATCTGTTTCTTTTCCGTCAACTGATGTGGCAAATGTATCGTCTTAGCTGTTGTAGCAAATTAATTCTACATGAGTGCATGTAAATATAATTGAGCCCAAAATACCATGAAATTATTGTCAAATGCACTAACCTAATCCATTCCTCTAAAACTATATATATATATAACATAATGTGCATAAACGAGCGACTGCACACGTCTTAGCGTAAAAGTCCTCAGGTTAATTAGAGTGAGAGTTCTTTTTGGTTTTGAAGCTTTTGAGAAGATAGGAAATAAAAAAAGCTGAAACTAAAATAAAGAATGCACGAGATCTTCTTCACAAACGAGCCCATATCTCAAAAGAAGAAAGTTCTCTTTATATTTTTTAGTGAAGCAAAGGAATGTTTCTTTTCTGGGGATGGTGGAGATCCACCTCATCCAATTTTGTCATCTTATCACTACTTTTCTTATTACAATATTCCCATGCGTATTACAAAAAATATTTATCATTTACGAACACCTATATCCGGAAAACTATAGGAAAAAGACAGTTGTCCTACAACATTTTATAATATCTTGCCAACCACGAGCGTTGAATCCATTCCTAGACTTTTCAGGATCGGCAAACATTCTTGCTTACCTTATATACATTTAGCAATCCAAATTATGTGCTGCTTAAAAGAAAAAAAAAAGCAATCCAAATTATGCTGTTAGTACTTTTTATTTTTATCCAAGGTTTACAGAAGATAAGACGTATAGTATAACCTTTTATTTTGAAGCAAACAAATAGCATAGTTAGTTAACGTTCATAAAATCATGAAAGCATCACGTGCTTTGTCTCATGTGACTTTGCTAAGACGTTGTAACAAACGTAATGATAATCTTAAACCATTTATTACAAACACAAAAACAATGTAATGATAACATTCATGATTTGATGTTTTTTCGGTGATCAGATCATACAACGTTACAATGGGCTCTAAGTGACCTGACTTGTGGTATCTTTCTTCATTTAATCCTTAGGAATTTGCTTATGAACTTTTTAATTATCCTAGATACTGTATTTTCAGGAGGAACACGCAGAGGCGTGCAGGACAATTTCCAACCCAGAAGCAAAAGAAAAAAACTTGGCCCATATTCTAATAAATATATAAAAAATTAAAATGTGTAATGACACGGTTCGAACCCATAAACACTAACTACAATGTTCCTGTATTACCAACAGAACTGGAAAAAACTTTAGTTTATTATTGATCTTTATAATAAATATTACATATTGGCCCCAAGCCAATGTTTGATAGGCTTGATATCAAACACGGCCCTGTGAACACAATTCAACGTTTCATGTGTATATGTGAGGAATTCACACTGTAACTGAGAATTATTCGGAAATAGGTAATTATTTTGAATATATTAACTATTTTTTTTTATTTTCTGCTATCTGGAAGGGTTTTGGGTTCTAACTGCGTGCATGTTGCTTCCAGCTATCAAAGAGACAAAAAGCTATGTGAAGTAAAAGAAGAAAAAGTCGCCTAAGAACCTAAGAGCATGTGCAATGGAGGATGTTAATGAATCCTTAGCGCTAAAACATAGGTAATCAGAAATAAAAATAAATAAAAATCCTTTTAAACTAAGGATTGATCCTTAATTAGAGATTCGAAGGATTCAATCCTTGTTGACGTGGCATCTCCATCTCTCTTCTTCTTCTTCTCGGCGACAAAATCAAAAAACAGATTTTTGTGAAAACACGTCTAAGGATTCAATCCTTGTTGAAGTAGCATCTCCATCTCTCTTCTTCTTCTTTTCCTTCTCCTCTCCTCTCCCTTCCAGAATCGATCTCTCCTTTTACTTCCCATCTCAATCCCTAAAACTCCAATTCTGTAACTGCGTTTCAGTTCCTCGCACCTGGATCGTTTCCAAGGTAATCGTCTTGAGTGTGACCATATGAAACCTCATACGCGACTGTGTCTGCTGAGATTTTTCCTCTTCCTGATCCTATCGAATCCCTCCTATGGAGAAAACAAGTTCATGCTACTCCCTTGATTGCTGATATCAATAGGTATATATATGATTTACGATTTGTTGTTTTCTGGATTCGTTATATGGAAGCAGTCTTGATGTTGCATTTTGTTGATTATATCACGTTAATTTTGTATTGGTTTCGTGACTATACTATTTGATATCTATGGATCTGTAGTTATTGATGATGAATAGATTGTGTTTGTATTCTAATTGTTTGATCTTTTTTTTTTGTGGACTTGTAGCTATGGGTAAAGAGAAGTTTCACATCAACATTGTGGTCATTGGCCATGTCGATTCTGGAAAATCGACCACCACTGGTCACTTGATCTACAAGCTCGGTGGTATTGACAAGCGTGTGATCGAGAGCTTCAATGGATTTTGTGACAAATGAAGATGAGAACAATTCTGATTTGGAGTGTTAATTGTAGTTTAGAGGTAATAATAAATAGTTTTGGACAAAATGGTGATGTTGCAGAGCTGGATAGCTCAACCCCAAAGGCGATGTTGCAGAGCTGGTAATGTTGGTGATGTTGCATAGGCGATGTTGCAGAGCTGGTGATGTTGGTGATGTTGGATAGCTCAACCCCAAAGGCGATGTTGCAGAGCTGGTGATGTTGGTGATGTTGCATAGCTGGATAGCTCAACCCCAAAGGCGATGTTGCAGAGCTGGTGATTGGTGATGTTGGTGATGTTGCAGAGCTGGATAGTTTTGGACAAAATGGTGATGTTGCAGAGCTGGATAGTTTTGGACAAAATGGTGATGTTATCTTAATGGATCAGCTGAAAGCATTGTGGCACTCTGAGTTTCACAATGAACAAAAACGGGCTGCTAACATGGTAAAGTATCTACCTTTCCGTTTGTATGTTTTGTGATAGATCATCGTTGAGGTTTAAGGTTTTATTTTGCTTCTGAATTGGATACTTGGAAACATGTTTATATATAGCCAATGACCCAATCCAAGTTCAGCTTTAGTATGCTTAAAATTTGTTACACATGTTTGGCTATTTTGTTACACGAGTCTATATAGCCAATGCTCAAAAAAATGAATTCCATGAAAAATGGATTCCATCAGTTTCAATTCAAAAAAAAAAAAAAATTCTAAAAACTTCATTACGGATAACACCATTGGACATATATTATAGATAAGAGTCCTTAACTATTCACAAAAAGAAAAAAAACAGTATTTTAATGTTAAGGACTCCAATGGTGGATAACACCATTGAAGTTGCTCTAAGAGCATCTTCAATTCTAGCATCTTAAATGGAAAATTGAAAAATTGGAAAATTGGGATACTTTTGAACTTTTATTTGTTTATATAGGATTTCTCATACTTTTGGCAATTTTGGACATGTTTTACCATTTATTAATAAAAAAATAGTAAACTAATTTTAAAAAATAGAAAAAAATATGAGAAGGATAGAAAACATAAGTATGACAACATATATGTTTAAGTTTTTATTTTTTAAAAGTGGAATCATATTTTATTTTATCTTCTAGCTACAGATAGAATACTCGTTCTGGTTATCTACTCAGTTTAGAAATCATATATTGGGTGTTCTTGCTAGATAGATCTGAGGTATGAAACGTAATATAATATTTCTTGTCTATTCTAACCAAGGCAGTATTGGTAACATTATAATCAAGGCATATGTCTTTGGTGTACGTGAAGCTAGATACCGATTTATAACCATAACTTATTGATATACCTCATCCAGATTTTCTGCCATAACCAATTCAGTATGTTACCTTATGTGACGCTTGAGAAAGAATATGTTTCCCAGCTTTTCTACTGTGTTCTGCCTTAGGTAGTATACATATTCTAGGTAATCCGCAAAATATGGAAACTTCCATATTCAGTTGAAGATGTTTTCTAAATATCTTAGAGAATATTTTGTCCAAGATTTTCTCTCTTCCTCACGGGATCGATCGATCCCAGAAAGACTCGGTCGATCCCGACGGTCGATCTCGATGATTAAACAAAAACATAAAAAAGCACGGAGCAGAAACTGATCGAACTTGTCCAGTTCAGTCGATCTTCACCGATCAATCTATCATAGATCGATCGATCTCGATCCCAGATAATAGAACCGAACCGAAAATAATCAAATATTTCTCTTTGAATCAGTCTTGATCCTCGTGTGTGTTGAATCATGAGTCACCTTGATACATAATGTGTTCTTCGTGTATGAGTATGTGTTGAATTGTCACATAATTGTGTCAGAGAGAAGGCGGAATCGCCATGGGAGAGAGCTCGGCGGAGAAGATGATGTAAAACACAATTAGAGTTATCGATTTCCCCTTTGTACTTTGAGTCCCGATTCTTGTTTTTTTTTTTTTTTGTTTTTTTTTTGTTTTGTTTTATTTATAATTTAAATTTATAATTCCCCTTAATTGATTAACTGAAAGGGTATTATGGTATTAACAGATTTGAAAATCCTATTTTCCCAAAAAATCTTTTAAAAGTTTTATAGGACAAATCCAAGTTGAAAGTGTCCTAATTTTCCAATTTTCCCTATTTTTTTATTTTTTTTTGTTTGATATATAAATAAAAGAACCAATCGCGTACTGCCATATATTAATAGACCCGCGAACAGTGCAAGCAACTAACCATTTGGAGTGTTTAATTAAACATTTTAAGAAGTGGTGTTTAGTGTTTTTTATGGGACCCAATGACAAAAAACACTAAAGACCACCTTTAAGCACCCTTTAATGATGCTCCAACAGAACTTTAATAAATTTCTCCATGGTTATCTTAAAGGAGACTGTTTTCATGGAGTTTTAGCAACTCTTTCTATTCCTTCGCAAAGGTGAGACATTGGGCTTTTGTATATTTTCTATTTATAAATTGGGCCTTAACATATTAAGTTAGGCCCATTAGAATCATGATCGCCAGCACGAAACCAGCAAAAAATCAAAAGTGATCGGCATCTTACTGGAATCATCAGTGCTCAGGCGACGACAATGCAAGGAGGATCATCGGGAATTGGATACGGCTTGAAGTATCAGGTCACTCTATCATCTTCCTCTTCTTCTTCATGTTCCCGATATTCTTCATGAATCTCATTAAGCTTAAGAATCTCTTTTTGTTATCAGGCGAGATGTATATCGGATGTGAAAGCGGATACAGATTACACCAGCTTCCTCACTGGAACCCTAAGTCTCAAAGAAGAAAACGAGGTTGTGAATCCTTATTGATTCGTCTTCTCTTTGATTCGCTACTGAAAAGTTTTGTTTAAATTTAAAAAGGTTCACCTGCTACGACTGTCATCTGGTGGATCTGAGCTGATTTGCGAGGGTTTGTTCTCTCATCCTAATGAGATTTGGGACCTTGCTTCTTGCCCTTTCGATCAACGCATTTTCTCCACTGTCTTCTCCACTGGTAAAAGTTTTTGATCAAATTTGTAACTGTAAATGTTTATTAAAAAAAAACTTATTATGTTTTTTTAATGATTCGGTTAAAAAGGTGAAGCATTTGGAGCAGCGATTTGGCAGATTCCTGAGTTATATGGTCAGCTTAATTCCCCACAGCTTGAGCGTGTTGCATCTCTTGATGCACATGTTGGTAAGATTAACTGGTGAGTTGATCGTAAAGTCTTTGTTGATGCTACAATGAATGCAGAAGCTAACTCTGTGTCTCTCTCTTGTGGGCAAATAAAAGTGTTCTTTGGTGGCCTTCTGGGAGATGTGACAAGTTAATCAGCATGGATGAGCAAAATATTTACTTGTGGAGCTTGGATTGTTCGAACAAGTCTGCTGAGGTGATTTTTAGCTTAGACAGTTTTTATCTGTGTGTTTGCTTATCCGTGATCTCCAAGTTAACAGGATTTGGTTTGTGTAGGTTTTGTCTAAGGATTCGGCTGGGATGTTGCATTCTTTATCTGGTGGAGCATGGGATCCACATGATGTTAATGCTGTTGCCGCAACTGGTGAATCATCTGTTCAGTTCTGGGATCTGCGTACCATGAAGTATGTTATCTCTGTTGATCTTCTCTGTTCTCACTTCTCACGAACATTAATATAGGCGTTTCCTGCATGCACTTACACATTGATTATACATTTAGACCCACTGTCATGATTACATGCTGTCATGGGGATTTAGATGTCAAATGACTATTAGTTACTTTGTTTTATCTCTTTACATGAACCCATGTATATATTTTGAGGTTTGCCATAATATTTGCATAACACAGGAAGGTTAATTCAATTGAACGTGCTCATGTACGAGGTGTTGATTATAATCCTAAGAGAGAACATATACTTGTAAGACTTTCCATCTTGTGTTCTCAAGTTCCTTCGTAGCACTGAACAATACTCTCTTTGGATTGAGAATAAAAGTGTTATCAAATATTTTTTGTGATGAATTACGCTTTCGGTTATGTAGATAACAGCAGAGGATGAATCTGGCATACATGTCTGGGATCTCCGGAAGGCCAAGACTCCCGTCCAGGAGCTTCCTGGTCATACACATTGGTAGGTTTGTTTGCATTTTTACTTTGTGAACTCCTCTTTTAGGATTCGATAGCTTGAGATTTGAATTTGTGTGTTCTGTATGTTTCTGTCATATTTTGCAGGACATGGGCTGTCAAGTGTAACCCCGAGTATGATGGGCTGATTCTGGTACACGCTTTCGCCTTCTTCATGTTTCTTACACAGAATTAGATTATCCGTATAGTAGATATGCATGTTGCTGTCTCGTATTTTAGCTGAGGTAGGTTGAGCAAGATGATGAATGATGTTTTTCCCCTCGGTACTACATGCTACTTCTTAGCTTGGAAAGCAGAGCCTATGCTTTAACTCGCGATGTAGATTTAAAAGCGTGGTTACTTATCAATTGAAATAAAACAGAGTGCAGGAACAGACTCAGCTGTCAACTTGTGGTATGCTTCAGCATCATCCACTAATGATAAACCCCCAGAAAGGTTGTTACAAATCTCTTATCATTCTCACTCTCTCCCACTTACTATGATTATGATTTGCCTTGTTTTGAAACTCATATGTTTCATACAATCTATCTCAGCCCTGTGGGTTCTACACGTCAGCGTGTAAACCTGTTGCTCAACTCATACACTGATTATGAAGACAGTGTCTATGGTAGATTCTCTTTTAGAACCTTATAATGGTACCATCATCTTGTGAAACAAATCACACACTGAAATTTACTGTTTAATCACAACACAGGCCTTGCTTGGAGCTCACGTGAGCCTTGGGTTTTTGCATCACTCTCATATGACGGAAGGGTAAGTAAATGATTTCTAACCTATCAAAACATAATATCATAAAAACAAAGCTCTTATCTAAAAACCTTTGGGGGTTCATCTGATTAAATTCTCTTGCTTTGTATATTTTCCTACGTTAGGTCGTCATCGAATCCGTGAAGCCTTTCCTTCCGAAACTATAGTAAAAAGCTCAGCATCTCTTTTGTTCTGACACAAACACGACCCATCCAAATATTTGTCGGAAAAAAGTTGGCAGACATGTATTTACAACAATCTTCTTTGACACAACTTGTTTTGAATCTTTATTTATCCATCTATCATTTACTCAGATTCCTTTCAGTACCAAGATTCTGTTGTTCTGAACTAAACAACACTCAACGACTGATTCTTGTCGGAAAAAAAGTAAAGAAACTAAAAAGCAAAGGTCATTCTTCCTCGGATTGGATTCCTATGTACAGAAGAAATTGATGAAGGCAAATATGACCACAACAAAAAAAAAGGTTGTAAAAACCGATCTTTAAAGTCTATTAAATTAGAATCAATCTGACAGCATTTCTTCAAGCTCAGGCTCATCTGAAGACATATCCTCATAATCTAACCTCGTACCGTTATACAATCCTCTGTCATGCAAATCAGTTTGGTCTTCTTCATAATCTGAAGACCATTCTCCATCTTCCTCTTCCTTCTGTTCAACATTGGTCACTTTGTTTTTCTTACCGAGTTTTCTTGAATCCATACCTCCCTCTTTAGCCTTACCATCTGTATCTTCGCATATACAAGTGGACGGATTCTCATGAAACTCACCTCTACCTGCTCTTACTTCCTTGGGCTCTCCCATGAATCCTTTCTGAAACGTTCTGACTCTTGAAGCAAACTCCTCCCAAGTTGTGTTCTCTTTGCTTAGAAACAACTTATACAGCTTCTTAGCATTCGGTCTAATCGTCGGTTTATGTCCAAAATACCTCCTGTAATCACAAAACCAAGAACATTTTTAACACTATAAAAGAAAGAAAGAAGAGCTGCTTTTGGTTTAAACTACTAACCTTCGACCAGCTAATATTCTCGCCATGTTTCCGTTATTGTTAGTAACAAAGACATCGCTTTCATCGCACACAAGAAAGTCCAACGCAGCCATTCGTGAAGAGTAAGAAGAAAACGGTTCTAACTCCTCTTTGGTAGCTATAGTGTCTTTAGAATAGAAATGTGGGAAAAGAGCTTTCAATGGAGCTAATGACTCTTCTCCTCCATAAACTTCACCTGATGCAACATATATATGAACATCACTTCCATATCCTAAAGCTCTAAGCATTAATCCAACTTCTTCTGGTGTAAGCGGACATCTTCCTTGTCGCCTTTGCTTTTCAGGGTTAGTCACCTGTGATTAGAAGTAACACTAGTTAAAACCAAACAAAAGTGTAAACTAGTAATGACACAAGTACATACATGTAAAGTTTTCCATCTCCTTCTGATAGATCCCAACTCTTTCTTCTCCTTGTCACCACCACCATAGTAACATCCAGAGAAGGCGAGCATGTCCGGCTCAAACCTAAGGTGTAAAGCAATGTAGTGTTTGCTCCTTAACCGCATTCTTCTGACCAATTCGTTACCCATTTTAAGAATGGGATCAGTGAACTTGAGGGCGTGATAGTTTACTCTACACCTCAGCTTTTGCAAATCATCTCTCAGCTTGTTTGAAAGTCTGTAATCAAATTTATTCAACTGAACTGCCTGAAACAAAATATTTTTACAAGATCAAAATCATACTTAAGCATCATCACAAAAAGAAAAATGTAAAGTTATAAGGGTAAGAGAAGCAGAAGAACTTACATGCCTTTTCTGAAGAACAGGTAAAACCCGATTGATATAACATTTCTCATTGCATTTTCTTGGTACACGCATTCTGCTGGGTGTCCATGTTTTCCCTCCTTTAGGTGGAAGTTGTTCTATGATTTTGACGTCTTTTGAGAGAGTTGCTATAAACCAATCAACTTGGAAGATATGGGAGAAGTTACTGCATATATAAAAAGCACAAAAGTAAGTTGCATAATATTTTGGGTCTTAAGAAACAGGAAGAGAATCTAGAGCAAGAACCTGGCATCTTTCCAGTAGGATTTCTGGTCTAACTTTGGAATAACAAGCGTAGCGTTTAGAATTCTTGCAGCAACAACAGCATCTACGATCTGAGAGAAGCAATTGTATTATAGTCAAACTCAAAACAAGATTTTTTCAGAAATAAACTATAAAAAAAACAGACAAAAGCAAAAGAAGGAACACTTACACCAGTTCGTTGTTGGTTTAAACCACCACTAGTGGCGATTGCCAAGTAGCGATCACTTCTAGTAATTGCTTTAGCATCTGCAGTGAGAAATCAAACTTGGTGTAACTGACTATATAACTTCTTAAGTTCAGAAACTAATATGAAAATTTAGTCCTAATTGCAGAAATGTGACACACACAAACACACTTTCTGTTACCAAAAAAAGTAAAAAGCTTTACGCACTTGGGAACTTGGTGCTTGCATTGCAGCACCCGTAAAAGAGTTCAGCATTCCATGAACGCCAGATATCACGATCTGATCTCCCTCCACTTCTCTGTTTCAGCCAAAACAAACCCAAAAAGAGCCCATTAAGGAAAATGCAACAAAAATCAAAACTTTGCAAAACAGAGAAACATCAGAAACGAGTTTTAAAACCACTAACCGGAACTCTGAAAACCACTGCTGCTACGTGCTTCTCAACATTGCCTCCATAGTTAATCTGCTTCTGCGATACAAAACATAATCAATGACGTTAGGTCATCCTCTCCATAAACAGAGAAAGAGAGAGAGAGGGAGAGAGTGTGTGTACGGAAATGCGGCGATCGGAATCATCAGGAGGAGGAGAAAAGATGGAGAGAAGAGCGAAGAGGATGAGAAGAGCTCCGGAGAAGGCGCATATTAGAGGGAGGAGACGACGGAGACGGTTGTAGTAATTGTAGCGCCGCCGCTGGAAAGCCATGGAAAAGGCTTTTTTTATACGTACGCGGCGCTGTTAACTTCGCATCTACGCCAGAGAGAGATAGATTTGAAAAAAACAAAAAACAAAAGTCTTGTCCTTTTGAGACAGAACTGGGTGAATATTATTCAAAAAATCGAAATCAAAATGACAACATGTTCTGTTTTATTGTAATCACAACATCTCCATCACCACCACCACAACGATCATTATATCATTAGAGAGATTCTCTCTCTCTCTCCCTCTTCGATTTTTATATTATATCAGAGAGAGAACAGATTAAATATTTTTTTTATAATCCTTTTTTTTGGGACATTTCTTATAGATTTCTGGGCTCTGAAAGGCACCGCCTCCAGCACTTCGTTCGAACAGCTTTTTGTTTTTTTTTTTTTTTTTAATATATTAAATCATTTTGATTAATTATCTGATTAATGAATAATTATCATGAGCTGTAGTTATTGACTCTTGCAAGTTATTATATTTGTTGCTATATAGTAGTTTGTTTTGACTATTTACCTTCTTGTTTTGCATAATCATGAGGATATTATTTGGTTACTAATCATTCATAATTGATTTTAAATTATCCAATAATTAGGAAATAAATTTTACCAAATAATCATCTTTTCAGAGTAGAGCCAGTCACAAGCTTTGTGTTATTTTTCATGTTTTGTTTTCTTAAACAAGCTTTTGTCTCTTTAAATCACTTTACATCTTTTTGTAGAACCATTTACTGTCTCTGACATGTAGTTTTAGTGTAAGTATAACTCTTTGCTTTACATTTATTATCTTCCTTGTTTTTCATATCTATTTGTAGAAAGAAGAATATTTGGAATCACTATTTCAGATTTTGAACTTTTGCTAAAGAGTGTAAAGTGAACAATTTGCGTGAACCGTGAAGGGAAGTATCGTTACTCTTTTTGTCTGCCTTTCTGTTTCCTTGGTGTTGTCACCATCCATGAACATAATAGGTGTGAGCCGGTTTACAAAATTTTAAATTGTATCGTTAACCAAAATCGGAAAATAATCATCGGTTTGAGATCATCTAATCTAACCAGAGTACTGGTCCGGTTTATCTTAACGTTTTAAACGGAATTATTACAAATTTAGTAAACTAATTAAAGATAACATAAAATATCCACTTGCCATCAGATTCAACTAGTAGTCAGAAAATGCTAGAGATCTAATCTTCCACTACCATACAACTTCAGACCTGTTTTATTTATATCAACTTGGTTTATTTTAGAACAACAATTCCGGTTTTGTCTTAACCAACAAGATACTTTATTTCAGAATAACACAACTTGAATTGTCTGTGGTACAATATTTCCGGTTTACCTTAAACCAACATGATACACCCAAAAACGCTTACCAAGTTCATAGCTTGCTTGTTCCTTTCTTTGATAAGCTTCCCATAGCCTTAGCCTTAGTCCTCAGAACAAACTTCTGAACTTTCCCAGTCGATGTTTTCGGAAGATCCTCAAACACAATACTCCTCGGAGCCATATAATGTGGAAGCTTACCCCTGCAGTAACTTATAATCTCCTCTTCCGTGGCCTTAGACCCATCTTTAAGCTTCACAAATGCACAAGCAGTCTCACCCCAATACTCATCAGGCCTCGCAACCACAGCTGCTTCAAGAACACAAGGATGAGTAAACAGAACAGACTCAACTTCAATCGAGCTAATGTTTTCTCCTCCTGAGATTATAATGTCTTTAGACCTATCTTTCAGCTCTATGTACCCATCAGGATGTTTAACCCCTAAGTCCCCACTCCAAAACCAACCTCCTTTGAAAGACTCCTTGGTTGCTTCAGGGTTCTTTAAGTAACCATTCATCACCGTGTTCCCTCTAAACACAACCTCACCCATAGACACACCATCAGCTGGTAAAGTCATCAACGTTACAGGATCTTTAACAGCAACTTCCTCCATCCCTATATGATTCACTCCTTGCCTCGCCTTCATTTTCGCCTGCTCCCCACTAGACAAAGAGTCCCACTCAGGCTTCCACGTACAGACAGTCCCTGGTCCATAAGTCTCCGTTAACCCATAAGAATGAAACATAGAGAACCCCAACTCCTCCATCTTGTAAATCACATGAGCAGGCGGCGGTGCAGCACCGGTTATAAAGGAAACCTTCCAAGGAAGCGGCTTCTTCTCGGATTCAGTAGCGTTGATGATCATGTTAAGTATAGTTGGTGCACCTCCCATGTGAGTCACCTTGTGCTTAGAAACATTATCAAATATATTCTTTGCGGTGACATTCCTTAAACAAACATTAGTCCCACCAATCGCGGTAACACCCCACAGTAAACACCAGCCGTTACAATGAAACATTGGATTAGTCCAGAGATAAGTAGGAGAGGAGTTCATTTCGTTGAGTAAAACAGCAGCCAAAGAATTCAAATAAGCACCTCTGTGACTATAAACAACACCCTTGGGACTCGAAGTGGTGCCTGATGTGTAGTTTACAGAGATTGCATCACACTCATCCTTTGGTCTTATAACTTGGAAATCAGATTTCCCCATTACCACAACATCTTCGTATTCCATCAAACTCTTCTTCCCTGACACGACAGGTTGAACACTAGGCTCTTGGATCAAGACCAAAAGAGGGACCTTCTCTCCCTTCTTAGAGAGAATCTCACAAGCTCCTTGAGCTATTTGGAGAAACTGATGATCTGCGAAAAGGACTTTGGTCTCTGAGTGTCTAAGCAAAACAGCAACGAGAGCAGAGTCGTGACGGATGTTGAGTGTACAGAGCAAAGCTCCAGCCATGGGAACAGCGAAATGCAACTCAACCATAGCTGGAACGTTTGGTGCCAACACTGAAACCTGTGTCAACCATAAACTTCGATTACATAAAGTCGAAAACTTTCTTTTCAAGTTGAAATCTTTAGATAACATCTGTGTAGGGATACGAAAAGGGTTCCTAAAAATGTATGAAAGTCAATATATTGATAGAAGTTTCTGACCACATCGCCGGCGGAGATCCCGAGTTGAGAGAGAGCGGAGGCGACTCTGACGCAACGGTCACGGGTCTGGCGCCACGTGTAAGTGACGGGACCGTGGACTATGGATGTTCTGTCGGCGTAGACGACGGCGGATCGGTCGAGGAAGCTGATGGGAGTGAGAGGAACGTAGTTGGCTGCAGACTTGATAGTTCCCTCCATTTTTTTGTTTGTTTTTTTTGTATGCTGGAAAAGTGATATCTGATCAGATTCTAGTGAGCAGTGGTTATCATTAATGGGGGTGTAGAGTTCTTTTATCAGCACTCCTACAGGGCAGCTGTATCCAAATTGAGACAGAAATGGTAATGATTGTTGTCAAATGTGGAGGAAGATAAGAGCATGTCTGGCCACATAGTCAGCCACTTGGTTCCTTCATATGCTTTTGTGTGATTGTCGTTTAGGTAAAGCCCAACTATTCTCTTGGGCCCTGCTTGATAACGTTCTCAAATTGAACATTTAAAACAAACAACGTTTATGATAGTATGAACTCTTTTGAGTGTTTGAAAGAAGCACAACTCTATCACTGTGTAGTCAAAGGTAAAGTGATGTTTCTAATAGGCATGATCAGAGTTCCAAGTGTAAACGAGAGTATAAAGAGAGATTCGTGTGTTGTTGAGCTGTGATTGGTTTCGGTCTCTTAAGTCGTGAGAAGAAGATAAACGAGTCCTTTTAGATATTCCACTATCTCGGATCCTCCCAGCTTCGAAGTTCCGAAGACTCTGTCCACAAATGTGATTGGTACCTGCAGATGAAGCATAGTAACCATATGAATCACGAATAATTATTTTTAAAGGAATCAGAAACGCAAGTGGGGTCTATTTATGTATGAAGAGAAAAAAAGATACCTCTTCAATATGGTATCCTTTTCTGGTCGCACGGACGATCATTTCCATCTGGAAGACATAACCTTTGCTCACACATGAGCTTATCACGTCTTCAAGCACCGATTTCTTGTATAGCCTTTCAAATAAGGAGATGTGGTGGTCAGTTGTGAACTTATTGACTGATTCAGTAGATGCACACAAGTTAGTTAGTTGGCATTTTTTACCTGAAGGACCCGGTTAAATCAGATACACCAGGCCATAAAAGTGTTTGAGCTAGCACATTGGCTCCTCTGCTTGTGAGTTTCCGCATAAGATTCCACCCGTGTACACCACCACCTTTTACGTATCGTGTACCTGTCACTATACTAGCATTCGTCTCTAGTTGTTTCCTTCATGATGTAGACAAGCAAAAGAGAGTCAAATTAAAATGCCATTATAAGCTTGAGAAATTTGTAAAGAGATGAAGAATCTCTACTTACTTGATGAAACTTGGCAAATATTTTGGCTGCAGAGTAGAAAAGCGAGTTAGCTCAACAAAATTACTCTTCAAAACGAAAAAAACAAGTAGGCGACTCTTCTTACATGATGTGAAAGATCCGCATCCATGATTACAACGAAATCACCTGAAGCATGCTTCAAACCATGGATATATGCAGTTCCTGCGTGCCAAGAAGATTAATAATTGTCCACTTTCCTCCTTGTAAAGCAAAGTTAGAAGATGATGAATTAACAGATACATACCCAAACCAAGCTTCTTGGCTCTAGCTCTTAAAAGCTGCCATCATAAATAATAACAAAGAACACGAGTTACTGCGAAAACTCACAATGAAATTACATATTTCAGATTCTAACTAACTCTGCTATAGTTACTCACTACGCGGTCTTCACCATACAGGTTCTGAAGTTGCTTGACAATTTCTTGAGTGCCATCAGGACTCCCATCATCCACAACAATTATCTCAAAATCAACATCCCTAACCACCACCATTCAACAAGTGTCACAATTTTCCTTAGCATTGGTAATAAACTCTCAGTAACATCCAGCATAGAAGAGTCTACTTATAAAAAAAGTGCAAATCCACCAAACACAACCAGAATCAAGCTTCTCCAATATCCTCTAAAACAACAACAAGTCCCTCCTAACACTTGTTTCAAGGGATCATTACACATTGATTTTTACAAGATCATGTGCTACAAAACAATAAAGTTAAGATCTTTAAGTGTAAAAACCATGATCCCTCACTTCTGATCCTTTAATACTCAATCACTAATGTCTAATGGGAGATCGGATTCGATTTTCAGTCAAAACAAAAATTCGTTTTTTCTTACCGGAGATGCTTGAAAATGAGGTAGACTATAAGAGCGATGTTGAGCCTCTCGTTGTACGTAGGAATGATTATGCTATACTTGTACTTCTTCTCCTCCGCCATAGCTTCCGATCCAAAAACTTAAGTTTTGATTCCTTCGTCGTCTTAATCCGCCTGTGAATTCCACCGTCGTGTCTGTGACTCTGTACGAAAAAGTAAGGACTAGAATGCAATTAGTATTAAAATATAGGGTGTTAAAAGCAATTTTTTTAAATTGGGCCTAAAATGATCTCAAAGTAAGGCCCAATAATCATAACAGATCCGTCTCTCTTTCTATTACCATCTCTGAATCGCTCTCTCCTTCCCTCCGACATCTGAGAGTTGAAACGGAAGGTTTCGTTGTAATTAGGGTTTTGCAGAGAAGATGAGCCGAAGTTTGGGGATACCGGTGAAGCTTCTCCACGAGGCGTCGGGTCATATAGTGACGGTTGAGCTAAAGAACGGCGAGCTCTACAGAGGAAGCATGATCGAGTGTGAGGATAACTGGAACTGCCAGCTTGAGGATATTACCTTTACCGCTAAGGTTTAATTCACTTATCTTCTTACCTAAAAACGTCATCGTTTCATTTATGTTGCTTTTCTTTGTTAATTGATGTGCAAAACCCTAGATTTGGCTAGCCTCAAAGTTTAATTTTTTTTTGTTGGGGGGAGTTAGATTGATTTTTATTATCTGGGCTTATAAAAGTTTTATAGCTTCTCTTCGTCATTGGAGAATTGAGAACTGGGGATATATAGAACCCTAGGAGAGTGATCCCAGTAGCGACTTCTCGTGAAGCATTAGATGTATTTGTAAGATATGTAACTAATGAGATTTTGGCTAGAGACACAGTTAATTTTCAACTTTTGTATTTGTAATGTTACATTCTAAGTGTCTAAGTTGTTCTCAGAGGATCTTTGTTGTCAAAGGTGAATTATTATCTGAAGTTTGCAGAACTGAAAGCTATCCTGTTTCTTATGATTACCTTAAGTTTGCGTTTTGAATAAACCATTTGCTTCTTTGGGAAGTAAACTAAGTCCGTGGAGTTTCCAGTTATGAATTTCAAGAGTTATATACTCACTTTTGGGAGTGTTGTTCCAATGTTGTGTCACAGGATGGTAAGGTTTCACAGCTTGAGCATGTCTTCATTCGTGGCAGCAAAGTCAGGTGCTGTAAACACTTCTTTTGACTTGTGCTTGTTTCCTGTTTCATGTAATTCATGGGATCATTCTCCTATAGATTATTGACATATGGAGAGATCTTGGCAGGTTTATGGTCATACCAGACATTCTCAAGCATGCTCCAATGTTCAAGCGCTTAGATGCTAGAATCAAGGTATATATACTTTCTGAACTCTTGATACAGAATTGATGATTGATTGAGTCTCTATCTAAATCTTGAATATACATAATACCTTCCTTACTTAATTGATGCAGGGAAAGAGCGGATCACTTGGTGTTGGCAGAGGTAGAGCTGCAATGCGAGGAAAAGTAAGCTTTCTTCTTTTCTTAACTCCTTGTTTGTCCTTAATGCTTGTTTCTTTTTTGTTACTACTAAATGTTGGATTCTTGAATCTCTGTGATCTTGTTGTAAAGGCTCCGGCTACTGGGCGTGGAATTGGAGGAAGGGGAGCGGCACCACCTGTGAGGAGATGATTGAATCTATGCTTTACATGTAAGCTTCTATCTGCAAACAAAGCCAGCCTCTCTTGCTTTTGTTATGTATTGCTTCAAGGTTCAGTTGTCAGATGTGTAGATGCACTATTAGTTCTGTATTTTGAGGTGCTAAGATGTTAAAACATTGACAAGTTTTCGTTATGTTATGTTTTTTTGCATTCTCCACTTTCTGGCATTAAATGAAAAGAAAAACAACGCACCCAATTTGTTTGTAAAAGTCATCCTTTGGCTATGTTGGTGGAACAAGATAAGGAACATAACAAATAGATGTAAAACTGTGATTACACCATTCAAACAATGACTTGCAGAACGTTTGATGAGTGGCATTTACCTTTCCGGAAGGTTTTACAACAGTTATGTACATGTAAGCTTAAAGGTTATTGCTTCACAAGTAGAATGAATGTGTAAAGCATCAAACAAAAAGACACACTGTGTCTTTTTTTCTCTCTCTCTCAAGTAAAGAAAGATCTAACGACCTTACAAGAGAACTTCAGCTGCTCTTCTTTTGAACTCTTTGTTCTCAAAAAAGTGATTAGATTGTGTCATTCGATCTTATTACTGTAGTTGTTCCCCTATGAAAGTTGAAATCCAGCTGGTTTGGTTCTTGCAGCATAACAGAACTTTGATGTGTTGTACTTCCTGTGAACTCCTGTTAGCTTCCCTGTTCCTGCACTGTGATGGAAACCAACCATCTTTCTTGCACATGCACTGGGAAAGAAATCAAAAGCCGTTTATCACAATTAAGAATTATCACTTATAGGTTTTGAAATCATGACTTGTGATCCTTACAGTAGCTGTTCTTCCTTGTAGCCTGAGTGAAATTCACAGGTTTTGCTCCATTCCTCATATCCATTAAGTGTACACCGAGCAGTGTAGATTGCCGAGGCTGCTAGCTTTGATGGAGTATACTCCAGCATCTCGTACTCCACAAGACAAAGTTCGATGATAAGAAACGATAGAACCTCAAGCTGAAACCACAATTTCATATCACATAACTTTAGATATAGATGCCACAATTTAAGATTTTCTATAAACGACACAAACCTTTTTGTCAGATTGGGCAGCTTTGAGAAACCGTCTCATGAACACATACGGAGTAGGCAAAGAGAAATTGAACTGCAAGGTGTTGGCTATTAGCTTCTCCTGCAATGGAAGTCATAACAAGGTAAACTGAAACTGAGAATTCTCCATAGTTAGATTAATGATCAAGAGGAAAATGATATTCACCATGTCCAGTACTTCTCTTCTAGTGTAAGCTTTATCAGAGATCAAGATGAGATCATCTACTGCTGGAACTGAGACTTCCTCGTACTTACAAGCTAGCAACAAAGCGGTTACACCAACAAGCTGAAGCTTTTTCCTCACGATTTGATGAACCGCAAGGAATCTATCGATGGTATGGACTGTGAGATAGAGGGTTTCCTCCATCAGTTCAAACTTGTCATGCACCTGCTCAAACAAATTTCAAGTAGATTAATTATCATGCACATTGAAGAGCAACAATGCTTTTATGGTATGTACCTCAATCAACCAATCAATGAGGATTCCTCTCATCATCTCATTAAGCTCTTGCTGATTGTCTATGTAGTTAGGAGACACGCAGCTAAGTTCCTGCAGAAGCATAACAATCAATCAATCATAAGCCCATTGATGATTAAGAAGAGCAAAGTTTTGTGTTGCAAAAAAGAATCATAAAATCACCTCAGATTTCTTGTGGAAGTGGTATATATCATTGATATATTCAACTACGGCTAAAGAATTCTTCTCATCACAAGCGTCAATATTAAATACTAGCTCTTCTTCTTTATCTGCATTTTCCATTTCAGTCTCCTCCTCCTTTTGGAAGAAACAAGGTAATGTGAGTAACTAGCTTCCATAAAGCAAAAGGGTTTAGAAGAAGATTAAGGTAGTACATTATTTACCATCATTGCTTCAGTGTGTTGTACAAACATTGGCTCATTAAAGTCATATCCTTCCTTACGATTAACCCTCTCTGCTAGTGCTTCTTCACTTTGAACTGAGTTTGATTTCTTAGCTTCCTAAGGTTAAAACAGAATGAAAAATTTAAAAACTTGGTCTATGGTCAGTGTTGTAAGTGAAACACATGTTGAATAGTGACACTATAGAGTACCTCCTCCTGGATTTGTGGCGTATTATCAACTAATTGAGGGGCAGCAAACTTCCTGAACCAAACAGAGAGTGATAAGAAACTCATTAAGTAGACAATGTGAGACACTGAAAGAGTGAAAAATCTAATGTACCTAGTTGTAACTGGTCGACGCAGAGGTGGTTTGTTACAGATAACATTCCTTCTGCAGAATCAGATCAAATATTGCATTTTTGAAATGATCAAATCAAAGGAAGAGAGAGAAAGAAAGAAAAAAAGCTAATCTTTGAATCTGAAGATTCATTACCATTGAACACTTACTTAGAAAGTGATCTCTTGTTGTTGACAGCGTAAGGGTAAGACTCAGTGATGTTCTTGTTAATGGCGCTGAGTGCTCTTCGTGTCGGCATGATCTTTCCTCCTCCGCCTGCTCCTGATGTACCCATTTTCTTTGTTATCTGCGGAGCCTTTTCATTCGAGAATTAATTAAACTCAAGAGAGAATCAAAACATACCTATCGACTATTGTCGTCAAAAGCAGAGTTTAAAAAAAAAAAAATTAGAAGAAAAAAAGGGAAAAATCTTGACTTTTGAGTTTGACCATCAAAACCCTTCGGTTTACTAAGACCTCACCAAAAAGAAGCCCTTCTCCCAAAAACCCATATGGCAGAAACCCAAGAAAAATAAGAACATAAAAAATATATCACTCAAAGGCAGTTTCAAGTTTATTATTACACTTTAAGGCACTTCTTACTACTGAGGTAGTTTTCTTCAACTAAGCCCACCTCTCGTTAGGTTCACTAACTAAAACAAAATCATTTATTGTTTTTATCATTAGTGGATCTTTATTATTTTATCTCTTCTTCTTTATCGGATCTAAGACCCTGTAATTTTTCTTCTTTATTTATTGATACCATGTCAAAAATCCTGTATATTTTCCCACCATCACAACATCCTTACCTCTTTGTCTTCGTCTTGTAGATTTCTTCATACTCAGAAGTAAACAGGGGGATTCTTGTTAATATCCACCACCGTCGCAAAAGCCCCATTACAATTTCTCAGACAAAGCCATGAATGAGGACCGAAACCAAAAAATCACATTTGTTCAAACTTCTTAGACAAAGCCATGAATTAGGATTGAAAGCTAGCACATCTGAGTACAAAATACATTAAAAACAAGTCAAAAATGTAAAGAATCATGGAAAATAGGCGATTTGGGCGGAAATTAGGGTTTCTAGTCGAAAATGGCTAAGGAAGAAGATGAGGTCATTTCGGTAATTTTGCAACATCAATGAAAAAAAGTCATGTGTACATTACATTCATATTGTACATGTGTACACCTAATTTGTATTATACATCAAAATTATTGTGTACACTTTTTAGTAGGTTTTCTATCTAAATAACTAAACATCTACGATTTCATGAACTCACAATAATGTTAACACAAAACGAGATGCTAAAAGTCATTAAAAACATGAGATATCATATATGTACACATGAGTATTTTTTGTATGTACACATCAATGTAGATATTTTGGTATCTAATATCTATGTACAACCAGGTCGGACGCACCCTTTTGTTCATAAGGATATGTAAAATGATGTACAAATATCAAACAAAAATTTAGTCTAAAACGTGTGTACATCTAGTATACATGTGATTTTTTTATAAAAATCATAACTTGTGTTGTGTACAAAGAACTAGTGTATATGTGATTTTCTATAAAATATTGTATATGTGGACATGTGATTTTTATAAAAGAATTCGTGTACATGCTCTGGATCAGCGTCACTTCTACAAGAACAAGCCCACCAAATGTACACAATGATACTGTACCCTCAAGTCTCTAACATGCATACATCTATCAAACCAAACTTTAGTCTAAAACGTGTGTACATCTAGTGTACATGTGATTTTTTTATAAGAATGATAACTTGTACGGTGTACAAAGAACTAGTGTACACGTACGTCTATTCATAGTGGACATATGTACATGTGTACATCTATCACACAAAACTTTAGACTAAAACGGTGTGTACAATACCATATATAATAGTGTACATACACGTTATTATCCATGTGTACACCTATGAATATGTACATGTCTTGTTCAGAAACTTGGTAAGCATTTTTGTTAAACAATGTGTACACGTTATTATCAATGTGTACAAGTTATTATCAATGTGTACACGTTATTATCCATGTGTACACATTATTTTCAACTTTTTTAGAGAGGGCATTTTAGTAAATATGTCTTCGTCTTTCCCAGATTTTTAGGGTTTTCTGCAGCAATTTTGCAGCCGTCACTGATTTCTTTCTCATATTCTTCTATTCTTTTAAGTTTTATCTTCAAGATTATAGAAATTTCGTTTAAATTCTTATATCAAACTTCTAAACTCAGAAATTTTTTTTTTTTTTTGTATTCTCCCGACTCCGTGACTGAATTGAACCAAGACACCACAGTCAAACGCCATAACAATTTCAGATGGGCACGACGGTGAAGATGAGCACAGCAGAGTGATTCGAAGGTGATTTTTCGACGATGACTGAGGCAGCAACAAGGAAATCTTGAGTTAAATGTATGGGTTTCAATTTTTTATTTACACTGACATCACATAAGATTTTGAGCAAGAACATAGAGTTTGGTGGTGGTGTTTGGTGCTCGTGACCATCATCTTTTTTTCAGAAACTTGACCAATTAAAATATTAGTTAATTACTCTAACTAAATAGAATGCCTATGATTACATTTTTAAAAGGGCAAGTTGAGTCTTTTTCACTCCAAAACTGCCTTAGGAGTGGTAACTGCCTATTTTTGTAATAAAAAACACAAAACTGCCTTGTGGTGATAAAAACTCAAGAACATATGCATTGGTGTTACTCTAAATAGAATTCTTCTTGCTACTCCTTCATTCTTGCTTGCGTAAAGCACAACATTATAGCGTTACAAAAAAAAAAATAGAATTCTTAGCATTATTTAATTTTTTTTTTGAATAGTTAAGGATTTTAATCTAAATTTTAAGACCAATGGTGTTTTTCAATTAGGAGTAAAAATAAAAAAATAAAATAAAATATAAAACAAGTTAAATACAAAACGAACCCAAAACGAACTCTCATCCAGACTATAATAGGAAGCTTGTCATGTCTTTGATACTTAGCATTCTCCCTCCGAGTTGGCAATACATTATTCAAAGCATCAAGCTTCCTACGCAACACCATTGCTAATGCAACAAATATTACCACCTAAAAAAGATAACATAACAGAGTCATTAATCCAAACTACTAGCATGACCAACTATGCATGTGTTTTCAAACATTATATGAGATTGCTAATCCAATCCACTGATGTTTTGTAGACCGGCTCAGGAATATGAGCCAATGGAACATGTTGACCAAACACATTAGCTTCACCAAACTTTGATCCAACAATCTCACAAAAAAAAACGAAGCTTACATCGATGAGTTTGGACAAAGGGGACTCTTTGAACATCTTCACCCATGGAAACTGCACTAATGACACACCAGACAATGCTCTCCCAAAGTAATCAGCAATCTTCGCAGCAGTTTCAGGCAACAACACTTTAGGTTTCTTCTCTTTCTTAGTCTTCTTCTTCTTAACCTCTTCCACCTTCTTCACCTCGATCTCCTCATCACTATCCTCAAAACCATTAGATCTCAAACCATTAGGTTCAACCTCAACATCAACAGCAGTCATTTTTGCCGCCAAGATCTGTTTCCTTCGATCCTCCGCCTGCTCCTCCAGCGAACGGAAAATATTATCTCCATTAGCTACATTAACGTTTTTGATGTTAGATGCCGCCGTTTGATCGGACGACTTCTGTTTGCGGTTGCGTTTAGGGTAGATGACTTTCTTCCATCCGTGATCGACGTGGGTGGTGTTGAAGGTCTCGAAGCCGTCGTAGTCGATAGATTTGATTGGATCCATTGTAAAAGTTTGTAGTTTTTTCTCGATTTGTTTCGTTCTCTTTCTCTCCGGCGTGAAAAACAGAGACTTAATCGATTAAAAACATAAAACGAACCCAAAAATTGCGAGGAGAGGCTCTAATTTACCTTGGTTATCGAAGAGCACAAAATCGTCTCTGATATCGCCGAGTCGCCAAGAGAGTTGCGAAAGAAAGAGAATGATTTTTCTTTCAACTAACGAAACACAACTCGACTTCGAATGAACCACAGTCTGCCACGTGCTCTAAGGATTCAATCCTTTCAGCCCCTTAATTACGTTACGCTCCTTAATAAATGGTGCATTTTGATCTTACATTTGAAATATTGTTGTAATTTACTCCCTTCGTATTTAAATGTAAGATGTTCTAGATTTTTATTTTGTATACAAAAGATTGGTGTTTGAAGATATAATTAATGCATTTGTCTTTAAAATTAAACTTAAATTAAAAAATAAAATTATGAATGGTTGAACTTTATTGATAAAACCAAATAACAATAACTTAAAGAGTTAATTACTTACTTCTTGATATATGTGCAAAACCTTAAATATCATATTTTAAAATTCAGAAGGAGTATTTTTTATTGGGGTGCTTTCTATTTGACTGTATCTAAAAGCTTAATGAACTGGGATTTTCCTATTTGGCTGGGTGGCAGGTCAGCATATAAGATAGCATGTATACTATAGTTTAAGGCATCTGCATAGATAGAAGCGGATCGGACATATTTTCGAAGTAACATGCTGCTTCTGATCCGATGAGCTTAATATGAATATAAGCCAAGCTAAGATATTTGTATAGATCACTAGTTAGACATCTTTTTCCAAATTATCATGCGCACAACATCCACATATTTTTCATTCATGAGCTTTAGTTGACTTCATAACGCGGTTATGGATATATCGAGATGAGACATATGCATATAACCCATAATATATTTTTGGGTTATATCACTACAAGAAAACTAAACTTTTACTAAGAAATTTTATTAGGAAAATAGTTCCTCGTAAAATTACTACGAGTTAACTTCGAGTTTACGAGGAAACACTTTTTCCTCGTAAAGTTCTCGTAAACTTACGAGAAAAATGTTTCCTCGTAAACTCGTAGTAAACTTGCGTGGCTCTTACGAGGAAAAAGTCATTTTCCTCGTAAACTCATAGTATCTCCCTTCCTCAAGTCCCAGGGAAGACGAAAGACAACGTAAAATCAAGGTTGGACTTACCCGATATCTTCTCAAGGAGTGGGCTACATATAAAAAGCAATGGGCAAGTTCCAGTTCGAATATTCAGACTGTCATCAGAAAAAAAAAGTCTGCGTTGTTCAACTGGGTGGCTTCAGAAGTGAAGTTCCCTGATGGGTATGTTTCAAATCTCTCAAGATATGTTGAGAAAAGGCAAAATTTCTCCGGGATGAAGAGCCATGATTGTCATGTCTTTATGAAGCGACTACTTCCCTTTTGCGTTTGCGGAGCTACTACCGGTAAAAGTACATGAAGCAATTTCAGGTAATTAATTAATATAATACGATGACATGATTAATTTATTTATATATATATATATATATATATATATACTAATGTGGATAATTTTTGTTTTCGTATACATATAAGGAATTGGTGCATTTTTTAGGGATCTGAGCATCCGCACTCTTAAAGTGGAAGTTGTCCAACAACTTCATGAAAACATCCCCGTCTTAATCTGCAACTTGGAGAAAATATTCCCGCCAACTTTTTTCGATGTCATGGAACACCTAGTTGTCCACCTCCCGTATGACGCATTACTTCGTGGACCCGTGCATTATGGATGGATGTATCAGTATGAAAGGGCCATGAAAACTTTGAAAGGAAAAGCCAAAAACCTAGCAAGAGTTGAAGGTTCTATTGTTGCGGGAAGTTTGACGAAAGAAACATCACATCTCACTTCGTACTACTTTGCACCGAAAGTACGTACAAGGAAACGAGCTCCAAGAAGATATGATGATGGTGGTGTCGTGCCGACATATATGGAAGACGATGTTCCCAAATTGGGCGATTGGGTGGGAAATTGAAAGAGGTTTGGTGGTCGAGTGATGAAGACGTCCATAGTGCACACCTTTATATTGTTCTTAATTGCGAGCATCCATTGATTGCTTATTTTGAAGGGTAAATATATAAACATACACACTTATATATATATATATATATATATAATATTAAATATATAACATAACATATATGATTTTAGAGTCAATTTGAGACTCAAGTCGAGGAAGCAATACCTGGTATATCGACAACTGAGTTAGACAAAAGGAAAGATCAACACTTTATCAAGTGGTTGAGGAAACATGTATTTATTTATTACTTCAATTGTATGCAAACATTACCACAAAGTAAGTCTAATGTCTAATTATTTTACTTTTTGTTGCAGGTTGATTATGACGATCCTGAGTATCCCGCATGGTTTCGCGAATTACTTCAAGGTCCAGTTGCAAAGGTTACTACATCGTCGATGTATTTCACCCGAGGCTATACTTTTCATACCTATGGCTATGGTAGACACCGAGGAACAAGTAATTATGGAATATGTGTGAAAGGCGAAACAAATTTCTACGGGATCTTGCAGGAGATTTATGAAGTTCAATTCCCGGGTATGGGTTTGAAATGCGTTATCTTCAAGTGTGAGTGGTACGACCCCGTCGTAAACAGAGGTGTTCGGATTAACAAGAACGGTGTAGTTGATGTCAATGGTGGGCGAAGGTACACCAAATTCTTTTTTTTTTAATATCCAGGTTTCCAATATTAATTAATTTTTACATATTGATCTTTATTTTCGTAGGTACAACAAGTTCGAGCCTTTCATATTAGTTTCCCAAGCAAATCAAGTTTGCTTCATTCCATACCCTCGGATTACTACCTCGGGAATAAACTGGTTAGCTGTTATCAAAGTTACACCTCGAGGACGAATAATCGCTGGAGAAGAACCATCATTACAAGAAGAAAACACCAATGAGATCGAGGAAGCTGAAGGAGAAATTGATGAGTTCCTGATCACTCAACAGACGAAGGTGTAGACGACGAGTTTTTAGAAAATGTTGATGTTTCAACAGATTACGACAATGTATCCGAATGAATTATGTATGTTTATAAGTTTGTTTAATCACAAAATCAATTTGGATTATATATGTTTTAAGTTTGTTTAATCACAAAATCAATTTGCATTTGGGGTTTGGGGTTTATGTGTAGAAGAGGTTAGGAGTTTGGTTGTAGAAGAGGTTATAAGTTAAGGAAGTTGTGGTTTGGGGTTTCGATTTTAGGGATTTATAAACCCTTTCCTCGTAAAGCCCTAGTAATAGAAAACACGGGTATATCAATTTCCTCTTAATGTTCTAGTAAGGTGTTACTAGGGCTTTACGAGGAAAAAAACGCGGGCATAGCTATTTCCTCGTAAAAGGCTTTCCTCGTAAAGCCCTAGTACAACCATTACGAGGACATTACAAGGAAATAAAAGCACGGGCATAGATATTTCCTCGTAAAGCCCTAGTAATGTTACTAGGACTTTACGAGGAAACAAAATTCCTTATATATACTCGAGCAATCCGGTTTCTCATTTGCTAGTAACCTTCTCTCTAAATCCTCTAAAGGTTCTCTCTAATCCGTAGTTAGGTGGTTAGTTTAAGGAATTTAGATTAGGTGGTTAGTTTAGGTAATTTAGATTAGGTGGTTAGTTTAGGGAATTTAGATTAGGTTGGTTTACTTTTATTTATTGTTTTTTAAATTATAAGAGAATTAATGTTTTGATTTTTTTTTTTAAAAATATAGATGTCTAGACAGAGCAAGCTTGCTAAGGCTGCTGGTAAGAGGACGTCGTCTCTCTAGGGGAGTCACTACGGAGATATGTTTGGGCATCAGGATGCTCCGGGTTCATCTTCGTCAGCTCCCGGTTCATCTTCGATTCCCGAGACTCAGGGAGCTTCTACGGCGTCCCGGCAACCACCTCCTCCTCCACCATCTCCTCCTCCTCCTCCTCTTTCACCGGTCGGGGTTCATCCCGATTTGCAGGTGCCGCCGAACGCACCCTTTGCGGTGTACACGGTGGAGGATATTTTGGCCCTTCTAGGCAGAGAAGGGCTGGCAGAGTTAGATCCTTACCGACGGGACGGCGAAAACATATTATAATATGTTTTAATTTTTAAAAAGTTTTTTTTAATGTATTTCTTAATTAACAAAATATTTAGAAATTAATCTAATTAATGATTTATTTTATGTCTTTCCAGGTTTGGTCTTGACAATTGTGTCAGATCTAACGTCACGGACTGTATCAAGGGATACTTTCCCGATCCAGCTCCAAACTGGAAGATGACGGCGAGCCACACAAAAAAGACGTGGTTCAAATCGTTCGCTGTAAGTTTAATTCGTTAATTTATTTTTAATTATTTAAATTTATTAATATTATTGACGGGATGGCCAAAACATATTATAATATGTTTTAATTTTTAAAAAGTTTTTTTTAATTTATTTCTTAATTAACAAAATATTTAGAAATTAATCTAATTAATGATTTATTTTGTGTCTTTCCAGGTTTGGTCTTGACAATTGTGTCGGATCTAACGTCACGGACTGTATCAAGGGATACTTTCCCGATCCAGCTCCAAACTGGAAGATGACGGCGAGCCACACAAAAAGATGTGGTTCAAATCGTTCTCTGTAAGTTTAATTCGTTAATTTATTTTTAATTATTTAAATTTATTAATATTATTGAACTAATCCGTCTTTTATTTTTTCTGGTTACAGCAAAAGTATCCTTGGTCTATTGGGATTCACCAGCGGGTGAAGAAGAAGTTTGAGGCCAAGGCAAGAGCACGATTGCTCGACATGGTCTACAACTGGAAGGGCGACTATCAGGTATAGATTTATAAATTATAATATATATATAGTTTTAAAAATATTATATATGGACTTTAATTCTAATTTTTTTAAAAATTAGGTGGATGGTTACGAGGCCGGGAAACC